AAAAAAAATCACTTTAAGTCTGGCTATGTAGCAGCTATGTGAGCGGGTTACGTGACAACTAGCATGGACAAGCTCTCCAGTGTGTCATCTTCGTAATTCAACAGTATTACGACAAACTGTGACTCTCTTGGCTTGCAAAATTCTTTTTTAAATTGAGAAACGTCATCTGTGTAATTCATGGCACAATTCAAACAGCATAAGATTATTTTGTCCTAATGAGGTCCACTGGAAAGGGAGGGACTGTGTCTCTCCAGTCTGTAAGTATTGCAGTAGAACGTAGTGAAACCATCCTGATAATCTGTCCAAAGGATTTTTTCTACTCTGGATTGAGTGTCCCTTGTTACTTGAGTCTTCAGTTTTATTGTTGATAGTTTGTCCAGTTCACCATCTACAAAACGTTTCTGTGCAGCTGCAGGGTTTTTGTACATGCAATTGACAAAAAATGTCTTTCACATACACATGGATGTGACGGCTGAAACTGGAATATACTGTATGGGGTATCAGCTTAAGCAAACAATAGACACAATGCCGGGTTTAAAGGTCACCATATTTCATGTTCTTTTCCCTGAGTTTTATAATAATGAAAAAGAATAAAAGGGGGAATAATAAAAATCAAGAAACCGCTACAGGCCGAGGATACTGTGTAAAAACAGAGGCAGTCAGTCAGGAAGAAGAACATAAAAATATTAGACGAAGGGTTGCCAGTTCTTTTGAAAACACTCACTAGACCCGCTTAAGCGAAACTTTATCTCTTTGGTATCAGCTTCAACACATTTTATTGATTATGTATCCCTATTTTGAATGGAAACATTGACTAGTGCCAAAATTCAAACTGGTGTCAGCTTTTTATCAGCTTAGGCTGTCTTGTGAGTGGTCGAACTTCAAACTTACAAACAAACAAATCTGTTCAACCCTAGCTGACGGATTCAATTCAGGATGTAAAATTTGCTTTCACATGGCTGACAAAGAGTAAAATTCACAGAATTTGAACAAATGGACAAACAGACTAAAGAACTCACAAAAAAAAAAGGTGTGATCTAACGTGGCACTGAAAAGCAGTGGTTGGTGATGACACAACACATCTGGCTGTTACCTTTTGACATCCCCGTCGATGCAGAACGTGTACAGCCAGTACAGAGACAGTGAGAAACACACCACTGCCACCATGATGGATATGGCTGACACAAAATAACACAGAGAGGAAGAGCTGGAAGACTGCACTCCGATGAGGCTCGCTGTGGCGTTGAAGTTGACAAGTCCATACAGCATACACCGACCTCCAAAGTTACCCTGAGAGCAAAGAGACACCATTTTCATTTTCATGTTTTACTTGCAGTTGTTTATTGTTTGTTGTTTTGTTTCATTTGTCTCAGTTTTTTGTTACATTGTTCGAAACTCCAACAACTACACAGAAGCTATAAGACTGATATATTTTAATAGATACACATAAATCAACACACATTAACTGAATCACCTGACTTTTATAAGGAAGCGGAGAATAATTGGGCACGAGGACCATCTGGTCACATGACTGCGTTATTACTCGCGCGCACACTTTCACACGCTCGCACATTTCCTGATCACTTAAGAAGAGAAAGTTGTGTTTAAAGGGTTTTAGCGCTCACAATACATGTTATTCTTCACACGGTCTTAAGCTAATGGCGCAAAAGGAGCGCAGCTGATGAAATGAAGTGGAAAGGAATGAGTTAGTTCTGCTACCGTAGGATACAACACACTGTGGTATATTAGTCCAATAACAGGTAGTAACAGATACATGGGTCAGAGACAGGAAATCAGAGGAAAGTGAAAGCGCGTGTCTTTCTTTAGCTCCTCGCGCTCTGCTTCTTACTGTTTCTTCCTTTGACAAACTACTGAAAGATACAACAATACACTGCTACAGAAAATCAATTCTTTACTGCGTGCGACCGCGTAATAGCGGCGTTAAAATGAGTTTTGACAAAGAGTTGCCAACTATAATGCTCATTTGAAGACACAAATGAATTAAAAACGACATTAACTACAGAATTAAACACCAATAAGAGCCTTAAAGACAACCCCTGAGGGGATTTGTGTCTCTTTGGGGAATTACAAACTTTATGACACAGACGCGCGCACTAAAGAAAAACCTACCCGGAAGAAGGTGGAAATAAAAGAAAGATGTTAAACAAGCGCAGTTTATTCATTTCTCAGTAAAGTCACCTGGACTATGGTGAGGGAGGCGGCGGTGACAATCCCACAGACGAAACAGCTGGCGTACAGAGCCAACTCCAGCAGCAGCAGCCCCGTTAACGCCATCGTCCAGCGGCCCGGCTCCTGTCTGCGGACACAGCAGCGTCAAGGCAGCCACAATGACATACAAAGCTTCCGGTTAAGGGTTTCAAAATAAAATCGTGGACGAAGCGTTCAGTCGCAAACCTTTTTTTAAAAAAGGGTTTAAAAATTTGATGGATTTGTTGAAGAATGACTAGTGTCAAATACAACTGGATAAATCAATGTAAGTCTCACAGTAAGAGAGAAAATGATCTGTGCATCTGATTTTCGTTGAGCACTGTGTAATTGAATATTATGTTGAGACAGACAGCCAGAAAAATGTGATTTCCAAGAAAAATCTTACTGACTTAAACCTGGCTACCAAGACAATAATTCAAGTAAATCCATATGAAACCATTGTGATACAACAACTCACCTTTTCTTTTCGCGATGTAACAAATGCCACGTTTAAATTTTGGAGATCAAAGTGTTGGGTTTCCGGCGTTATTGTGTCTGTTTTCTCGCTCAGCTCTCGCTCATAGTCCCGTTGCCCGCAGCGACAGTCCTGCCTGTAAGATTCACTCCTGCTTTTAGTTTCAATAAAGCTTCTCTTGAGCCAGGCCAGATAGGCACGTCCGTTCATAAATGCGTACAAATCGTTTATTTGTCACACTGACGGGTAGATGAACTTCAACATTGGTGATCATACAGACCGATTTTCTTCGGGTCAGGAGCTGGTTTCTGATAACCCACAAAGATAAAGCCGTGGGAAGCAGCACGATGATGAATGGATGAGTGGATCAGCTTTTTATTTATGTTAATGTATAATATTTACTACTAGACGATGTTGATGCTCTTATAACATACTGGCTGATGGCTGGATGTGGTAAAATTCATATTTCTTACATAGAACATCACATGTAGTTTGTGTTATCTCCCATTCAGTAGACTATCAGGTGGCTAGACTTAGTCAAAGGTTGAGCTACTGGAGGATTTAAAGGCATGTCATCCTGGTATTAGTGCTGGCCAGTGTGTGTGTGTGTGTGTGTGTGTGTGTGTGTGTGATGGATGCAAGTAGAACCCAGAATGCTTAATCAAACCTTGTGACTTGTGTCATAAGACCATGCCATTTCGATATATGTAACACCATTTTCAACTCTGTTAAATTCACTTCTGCAGCAGAAATAGTCCTGACACATTTTCAGACCACCTGGGGAAGTGTTGCATCATTCAAGTTTACAAAAGGAATGTGTATAATAACCTTAGATTGCTCAAATCAAACAAAAAATATATATATGTGGTTTAATTTTTATTTGAAGTGGACTTGTCATATGAGTTTCCAATCAAAGCAATTCCCTCCTGTTAGCTTCAGGAGTTTGTTAACATGTGATTTACCCAAATAGGGTGTATACAGTCTGTGGTTAGGCTTTAAGTTAAGAGTTGAGTCTGTGTCAGGCCACCGTAGATTACTTTAGATGTTTTGTGCATTAAAAGGAACCTATGTCTTAGAGAGGTTTAAACAAATGTAATTTTAGGAATAAGTAGTAGTTTGTAGCAGAGGGAAATAAATGGATGCATGCATACAGCAGACTGAAAGGATGGAGTGAGGAACTAATAGAAGTGAAGCTAAATTTAACGTTAGAAGTGTGAAAATCTGTGAAAAACTGTGAAAGGCATTCTTGTTGTGGTGCATTCCCAATTCCACCGCCGTGACTGATTGCTCTAAGGGGGAGGCACACAAAGTGATGCCACAATCATATTCAAAGAGGCTGTTTTATTTTAACGCTTTAGCATCAGAATTACGTGACTTAAACATCTTTACCCAATATAGGGGCATAGGGAGTCTACTAGAGCTCGACATCTCACTCTTTTCTGGGTGTGGGCTTTGTTTGATTTTGAAGTCTTGAAGCATGAAACATCTCCTGCATCAGTAACCTTAAAAATCCAACTGGTGTCACCAAGCCTTTCCAAATCTTAGATCATAAATCATGATTAGAAACCAGCTAATAATAGTAAGAACAATGTGTTGATTTATGGCTGAAATCTGAGCTGCTTCATTCTCAAATGCTGACAAAGGCAGATCCAGAAATAAGTTAGTTGGGAATGTTTGCATTTATATGTGTGCTCTTTGTCTATTGTGACCAAGTGCAACCTCTTTCTTCAGAATACCAAATTAAAACTAATATGTGGAGCATGCAGCTAACCAGGTCTACTGTGACAGGACCCATTCTCCAGCATGTTAGTCAAAAAACAGGAGCCTTTTCTGCACGACTCCTGTGGTTTAGATTTGCTAGCATAGAACAGAAACTGTGTGTGCGTGTGTTGATGTCTCAGGTGGCCAGACTTAGTCCGGGGTTGAGCCTCTTACAAAGCCATCACCCAAGTATTAGCATCAGTGAAAATGTGTGTATGTGTGTGTTTTAGTGTGGCAGGGTTGTTAGATTAAAGGCTTAAATATGATGGCATTAGCGTTGGCTACCAGGACCTGAACACCAGAGAGCTTGTGTGTTTTATGTGTGTGTGTGTGTGTGTATGTGTGTGTGGTGTGAATCCAGACATCACAACACGAGCCTGGTATTACTTTAATTCACTGATAAGTTTAAACATCAAAATTCACCAAAGTTCGAATGAGGCACATTATTTACAATATAAAAGAGAGAGCAATAAAAGCAATGAGAGAAACATAAGAGATTACAATACAAAATGTAATGCAAAGATAGGAAACATGCACTTGAAAACACGTCACAAAAAGTTTACATATGGGCTCGGTCTCGCAGAGCCACAGGAGGGCTTTATCTGAAGCAGCCAACCAACATTTTATAAACAGAAACCCAAGCTCCTTCTAAATAAAAGAGTCATGATATACAGTAGATAGAGTCAAAGTTTCCGCTATAACTTTGAGGAACAAATGTCAAGATATACTAATTGTGCAACCGGCCTATTTAGTTTAGCATCACATTAAAGGAATACAAAAACAGAAGTGAATATTTCAACAATAGGAGTACATCAAGAAAACAACAAAACATTAATTTTTTACTATTTTAAATTCTATATATTGTCCCTCTTGGCAGAATTTTAATTACAGTTTGATTACATTGTGCCATCATATACATAAGCAAAAAGATGGCTATAAAAAGAAAATAAATCCACTGACTGAAACCGAGTTCTCTAAAACAAGGGAAACTTAATTTTTTTAAATCTCACAGTTGACCAAACGGTTGTAATATATTATGTAACATGAATTATGTTTGGTCCTTGTGTTTTATTTCAAGAATTCAAGAGGAATTTCAAGCCTGATTTCTCCAGTGGATAGGAAAATGACAACGTTGTATCGAGGAAAGCATCCTCACAGCCATGGAGGGACAAAAAAAATCAGTATCTAAAATGTAAAAAGCTGTGGGGCGCGCTGAACAAAAAAGGTACTTCAGAGAAGCCCACGCACAAGGCAACAGTAACAGGTCATTTCTAGCAAACAACAATCATATTTGATGTTGTGACAAGTCCCTAATGTAAAACTGGGAACACCCCTGAGGGAGAGCAGCAGTGAAATGTTTGGGTGTGATAGCAGGGTGCTGTTTGTGCAAGACTGCTAATGATTACACAGCAAAATGACTGCTTTTTGTTTATCAGGAAGCTGGAATTCTCAGAGTGGGAGCGCTGCTCTCTGCTCACAGTGAAAGAGACAATGAGGGCACCTAATCTGAAGAAATTTGGTATGTACTCAGGTTGTGGAAAAAATTGTGGAATATTTGTGCAGTGTCCATGCTTGGTAAACAGCTGCCAGCAGTACATTTGATTACTGAGGGCATGCAAAGAATGCTATCTTTTTGTGCACTGCAATAATTTACAAGGGGCTGCCAGGGAATGCATATAATATTCTTATGTGAATGTGTAGCCAGGGCACGATGCTCACACATTTTAATAACACAATGTGAAACAGTAGCCATCTCATGGTAACACACCACACACAGCAAATCTGCATATTTCAGTCAATTCCAGCTTCTGGCTGCAGCAACTCTTATTTTCATGACATGTGTTATCAAAGCTGTGCAGCAGCACTGTGATTTCACAAGTCAACTGACTGGTGAGGAATGTTTGGAAAGGGAATTCCTGCTCTGTCCATTGTAATTCAATGTTATGGTCACGTTCCTCGATAAGTGCAGTCACAAGACTCTTATCGCAGCACTGAGTGTGTCAGTCTACTACTGACCCCTATGTGTCTCTGTCCATGTAAGCATGTATGTGTGTTTCCCTGCACATCGTGTCTAGAAAAATCCTTTTTTTCCCTAAAATGAATGAATAATGAATGAAACCGAACTGCAGAATTAAATGGATTTCCTCATACCAGACCTCACAGTGTGGCATTGTTATGTGGAACAGTTTTACACTTTTAAAAAATTCCCTACTTCCTGTAAGTTTGTGATTTATGCATGCAGTATACATGTACCAGATGAAGGTGTTTTGATCATCAGCCGACAGGACAGCCAGGCAGTCTGAAAGCATCTGGTACAGGACTGTCAAGCTTACAGATAATCTTATAGATCCCTTTCTTCCAGCAGGGGTCGCTGTCTCTCCCAGTCCAAATGGCTGAGTAAAACTCCCTCAGAGCCACCTCGGACACCTCGATAAACCTCTCTGGGACCTGCAGACAGGAATCTCAATGTCAATGGATCAAATACTTCAGGCTCTACAGAATTAGGGCTGTAAAATTCTCGACACACTTGGAAATGTGCTCAAAACAACGCAAAAAAAACCAAAAACAAAAGAGTTGAATGAATGTGGTCAGCTATAGTATGATCCACATAAACTATACCTGCAAACAAAACACTGTATGTGATCCAGTCACATGTCCAACCACCAATTAAAATCATACGTAGTCATACATCATCATCATCATCATTACTTGCAAGGCTAAAATTATCTTTTGAATACAAGAACAATTTGTCACTATAATAAGAGTTTCACACTGTATGTTACTATAATGACAAAAAGATCCAGAGAAAACATTGTAGTCTATTTTACAGAACAGACCTTTTTCACACGAGCCATTCTGAGCTGAAATAGTAAACACAGGTGTTACCAATATTACTAATTAATCTGTTCCATTAGTGGAGTGGAGCCTTTTCTGTGAGCAACATGTACAACAGCAGCCCCTCGACTGTTTGACCTGAACGGAACAGAGCCTTAACCTTAGTATCATTGGTAATACAAATTTCAAGTCAAAATGGCTGCTGTGAAAAAGGTCTATTAATGTGTATTTTTGCTTTTTTAAATTTATTTTATTTTTATTTTTTCATGTTATAATGGCTGTTCAGAGTTTTATTCCTATTGTTATTAAAGGCCAATCAGGTGTTTTCCTTATTGTGCCTGACTGGATCTTTTCCCCTAGTTCTGTTGGTCCTATTAGAGTGGACAACATGCACCCCTATCATTTCTTACCAGTGCACAGATCTGGTTGACCTTGTATAACAGCATTATTTTCAATTAGACGTCTCACACCGTAGCAAGAAAATCACAGGTGTGAAGACTAACGTTAATGTTCCAATCAGTGTCGCCTGTGAGAAAGCATGAGTAATAGCTGGCCACTGGAGCCGACAATGGAACCTGAGCATAGTTAAGGTTATGAATGACACCTGTGCTCATCCTGATATATGACATGTCAGAGTATGTGCAGTGACAAAGGCCTGTTTCCAGGATAGCTGCCACCAGAGCAGAGGGTCTAACAGCCAGTAAACTCTAAACACCTTTAGGTGAGCAGGGCCTCTAACAGCTGCAACTTTTGTAGACTAAACAGCCCCCCCCCCCCCC